CACAGTGAATGCATGTATAGAGATGCGTGACTTTTCGGATTGATTAGACGAGTGTCGTTGGGATTTTGTTCGAGAATACAAGAGTGTTTAGATCTATGGTCCCGAACGCACTGCACATGCCATCTGCCTTATGCGGCACGACATCAGCAGCCACGCCACCAGGCAACCTTGAGAAACCAGGCACCGGAAACCAAAGTTGTGTTGAACTGAGTCGCGGGTCGGTCCCTTAGCCCTATGCATAATCAAGCTGATGTGTGTCTGCTCCCTCGTGTGTCAAGAAGGGTAGATTGAGGGTCGCATGAATGATTTTTTGCTCTTAATGATGCCTCTCAATATATGTGATTGATTGATATGTGGACTGACAAGCACCCTTCGATTGGGCGCCAGCCTCCCGTATCTCCTATCCCAACGCGACCTTTTCCCTACAGTGAGGAAAGGACACGTGTATGTGAGTGGGACGTACGAGAAGCTGTCGCACAAATCGGCGGGCAGTATTACTTCCCTCTGGCCAACCGTTGTTCTGGGTTCGTAGACGCCGGATTTGTCATTATCGATACGCACTTTCCACCCTACTCGATATTGTTGTCGTTTAACGAGCTAATTGTCATTCCGTGGATGGCAGTGGCGCCCCATTGGCCCCGCACTCTGTGCACGGAGTGCCAGCGTTTCGACCGCTACGAAGCGGAGGGCTTCCACTACTGAATACGGAGCAAGGACGAGCATGAGGAAAGAGCCACTCGGCTGAGACCATCCACGTCGGATTCGGAGCTGACCAGCGAACGACGACGAGATCTGATACGAAAACGAGACACACAAAGCGTGCCAGAGCCTTTCCGTTCTAAACGACGGGCTATAGCCCGGTGGGAAGCCCGACAGTACTTTCTGGATTGAATTTGGATCTTTCTGTTTTCGCGCCATGTCCGCGCGCGCATTGCGCGATGCGCGAAACTAATCGACTTGCTTCATCTGACCATCACGGGGGATTTCAGTTCCATCTGTGTCCCCACACTCAATTTCCCAAAAATCCTTGGCACACCCCATCTTGTTGTTTTTCTGGGCCTCTTTCCGCACGTCTCACACTCCGAACGAAAGACAGCACAGGGCATGAGGTTGCGCGTCACACGTAGCATCAGGACCGAGTTTCTTCGATGGGTCAGTCGCTATGCCTCCCTTCCCGTCCCCTCCCCCTATGAACATCAGCAGTCTTTGCTCAATGCCACTTGGGGGCACATAGGGCCCCTATCTTTAGGAGGCTCGCCACACAGGCTGTCGAAAACCAGGTTTTCGACAGTCACATGGAGCCTCACTGCACTACTCCTGACATGTACAAAAGACAAAAATCATGGTAGTGTTCTTTCCATATTCTAGCAGAAGATTCACTCTCGTTTTGCACATTTCTAGAGTAGTGCAGTGAGGCCCATGGACTTGTGCAGAATCGTCGCCCAAAAAAAGTTTGACAGGTGTCAGAAGGGTATGTTAGACAGCCCTCCTCCCCCCCCTCCCCCATTCTTTTCCTCCGGACTGCAGGAGTCATATATTTTTCTATTTTTTTTAGGAGTCAGAAATTCGAAAGTGGCCCACCTGCCTTTTGAGATTTTTTTTTTTTTTTTTTTTTTTTTTTTTTTTTTTTTTTTTTTAACTACATTATATTCTTCTCTCATATATTTTCATCATCTTTCAAATTCTTTCAATTCACCTTCACTACCTACCTACCACTACTCCTAAGGCTTAAACAGGGGACCCCTGCAAACATAGTTTTGTTGTCTCCCTCCAGCCACCAGAGCGGATGCATGTTGGCCCCTGCCCCAACCATGGTGGTCAAGGATGGGGTGGGGCCGCCGGTGGGGGTCCGGCTAACGCAGAGACCGAGCATTTTGCCAGTAGCTGCGCCTCCCTTTTCATCATCCCCCAACCCCAACCGAATAACAGCAGTGTCTAAGGCCAACACTCTCCCACACACCACACACAACCCATTCACACTCACACTCACACCCCTGTTGGTCAAGGACCCTGCTATTACCGATCAGAGGTATCAAGCGGACTATCTTTGCTGGTTGGCACTAAGTGCGCCGCAGGCGGTTGTGGGGCTCGAACCCACAACCTCCTGAATGCCACTTGCGTGCCTAACCAACTGAGCTAGGCCGCTGGATGCCTTTCGAGAATTGCTTCCCCCCCCCCCCCCCCCAAAAAAAAAAAAAAAAAAAAAAAAAAAATTACATTCAGAAAAAAGAAAAAAGAAGAAAAAAAAAATGCTTTCGAATTTCCGTTGTCAGGGACTTTTCCCTGACAGTCGTGCCCTGTCGAAAGTTGCAGTCCGGGGCCAAGTCCCACTAGTGTGAGCGGTGTGCGGGGGGTTCACACGAAGGAAATGGGCTGGGGGGTTTCGCGCGGCGGAGTCACATAGTGTGAGCGGTGTGCGGGGGTTTCACACGGAGGAGTCACATAGTGTGAGCGGTGTGCGGGGGTAATATGTTGAAGAACGCTGGCTAAATGGAAAAAGTTGTGTTTTGTCTTTTGGAAGGTCGGGAAGGTACCGTTAAGGATATGAGATTGGGTCTACTTTTTTACTTTCTATTATTTTTTAAGTTTTTTGTTTGGTACCGCAAGTGGTGATTTGGGAATCGGGTTACGTTGTCAAGTGGCGGTGGCGGATTAGCGTGAATTTTATTTTTATTGTTTGGTACCATACCTGGCGAATTGCTAATCGGGTTACTGTGTTAAGTGGCGGCGGCGGAGTAGCGTGAACTTCACTACAGAATAGTCGAGAACTGTGTTCAGGGAAATTTGGCGGAGTCCCCCTTTCTTTTCTTTTATCAAGACCAGTTAACCTGGACTGCCGTTTCGACTATTTTTATGCTTTTCCTTTAGATTCATTGTATTAGGACAATTGAACGACGACTTCTACGTAGGTCATAGGAACAGCTAAATAGCTTTGCAAAAAGTTTGAACTCAAGACTCCTGATGATCCTAGCACGGCGGCCAGGTGAAACCGGTAGGGTCGTCGCCGCCATAGCTGCTGTTGTTCCGCATGTATTACTTTTTCAAGCAGCCGTCACGTTCGGGTTTTCTGTAAAGCTATGTCTGAGTCTCGTTGTGTGAGGTCGGTGCATGAATCGTTTTTTATCTCCTGATTGACCTGATACGGTCCTGCGTTAGCAGGAAACCTTCTCTCACGGCGTAACCGACGTAGAGATTATACTACTGTCGAGTGGCTCCGCTGTACTACTTGCAAGGTCAGGATGGCGTCGAATCATAACAACTCTGGTGCTAGCGATGCAGGGTGCTACAATTGTGGGCAGTTAGGTCATATCGCTAGGTTTTGTCATCTTTCGGATAAGCGACTGAGCGGTCAGAACAGTTCCACAAGTACTGCCATCGTCCCAGTGCAAACTCCTACGTATGGTAATGCACCGATTAACACAGGACCACCCGCGTACAATAGTTACTACAATGGAAGGTACTCTGGCAGAAGTGGACTGGGGCGACGGGTGTCGAACTTAAAAGAGCTCATTGCGAAGATTAGGGGGAAACATGAGGCTGGTGAGGCGAAAGACAGAGCGGCTCGGAAAGAAGAAGAGAAGAAGAAGAAAGAGAAGAAAGAAGAGGATAAGCGTTTGAAAGAGAAGAAAGAGCGGGAAGAAATGCACTCCATCTTCGCCAGGGAGTTGAGCATAAAGTTAGATGTTGTAAGTAATGCGGTGGGAGGGAAGAAGGACAAAGACAAAGGTGATGACGAGATCGCTAAGCTACGAGACGAGATTGAGAAGTTGAAGAATTGCCAGTTTGGTAGCTCCATGCCGTTGTCACACACGGGAAAGAAGAGCAGAGAAAAAGCAGAGGACGAGATAGCGAGATCACGTGAGGAGATCGAGAAGATTAAGAAGAATCAGCAAAGTTGTGGGGCGTAGACTTCGCTGAGTGACAAGGAGGCTGCTGATCTGCTTAAGAAAGAGGTAGCTGAGATGAAATTGGCTTCTGAAAAGAGGTTTTATGCGCTCGAGGAGGAGATAGCCAAAGAGAGGAGTAGCGGATGCCGAAGCTTGGAAGAATGAAGTGTTACGACCCGACAACAAACGGGGGAACCTGGTCGTCGAAGCCACTCCCAACACACAGGCGAGAGTGCGAGCACACACTGTGCAGAGAATGGCGCCGGATGCAACGAGATTGAGGGTTGACGAACACTATAAGAGTGTTGTGAAACGACACGGGATGGAGGTCGATGTGTTGCAGGAGATGAGGCCGAAGGAGGTGAAAGCTCGGCGCGAAGCCGAGGAAGAGTTGAAAAAGATTAGGGAACAGAAAGTCTGCGATGAGTTGGAAATTGGAAGGTTGCACGAAAAGATGTAGGCGTTGGAGATGGAGAAGCGGCAACAAGGAGGAGCCACTAACCTGAAGTCTCGGCTGGATGAGGTTGCCGGGTGTTCGGCAAGGAAGACAGACAGGGCGAAAGGAGTTAGCCCTACGGTGTTGATTAGCGAACAGGAGAAGTTTTTAAGGAAAGCGAAAAAAGATCTGAAGAATATGCGAAAGGAGGAGATACTAGTGATATGCGATAAAGAGGGAATTACGTATGAGAAACTGGATGTTACGAGGGAGGAAATCGCCCAAGTACAGACTGTCAGAGAATTCGACGACGATGGCAAAGGGAGAGAAAATGGGAAGGAGGCGGTACACGAGATTTCGGAAGACGGGGGTGACGAAGTCGAAGCAAGTGTCGATGGGCTGTCAACTATTTCGTGAGTACGTACCCGGACGTGGCTAGTCTTTGGAGATTTACTGAGAGATGTTGTTCGTTTAGATCCTCTTCTGTTGTGCAACTAAGATGCAAATCTGTGAATGGTTTCCTAAGCTTGGTTGTTTGTATGTTGATTGTTGCATGGGCTGTGGGTTGGGGAGAGAAGTTGGCTAAGTACGTTATCCAAGTCGGACGGAATGGATTTGACTTTGATATTGGGAGTGGACCGATGGTTTATACATTATTTTCGCCTTGGTGTCAGCATTTGTACGTGGGGAGTACGAGTCGGGATATGGTGACTAGATGGGGCGAGCATGTTTACAGAACTGGCCAGACGGGGAAGGTAAGAGAGGGAAGGAGAAACGAGAAGCTCTACCGTTGGCTACGAAGGTACGGTGCTCACAAGTATGTCATTGTCCCTCTGGCAACGTGCACGAAGGAGGATCTGATTGATACGGATAATTTTTCCATTGGGGAGCTTTGCCCTTTGTTGAATGCTAGGGATAGGGGTCGAAGATTAAAAAAAACGAGACTGGGATGCAGAGAAAGAAGGAAGGCTAGGGAGAGATTATTGGGTCAGCGCCCGGAGAAGACGAGTGGAGGAAGACTACTCAACTTTAGTACCACCTTTGGTTTGGTGTCGGGAAGCTTGTTAAGGATTTTGGAACACTGTAGGAAGCATTCACTGTATAACTGTCTGTTCGTGTGCAAGGGAGGGGACCGATTGGTTGACAGATGGAAGGTTGTAAAAAGAATGTTTGGAGGAAGCATTATTACATACAAATTTGGGACAGGGGAGTTGAGGCATGCTCGGGGTTGGTTGAAGAAAGGAGTGTGTATTCACATTATTAAAGTCATACCTTTTCTGTGCAAGTCCCTGGCGTTAAAAGGGCCCTTGGTTGAAGCTTTGCGTTGTCCAAAGAAGAAAAGAGAGATAGCTAACTGGGGGTTGGAAGATCTTGTTTATGCCTATATTGCGGTTCATACGTTCAGTGAGAAACGCACACGATGTAGATTACGATATTTTCTGTTGAATGCTATTCAGTATAATTTTGGGTTGCGAGTCTGCCAAAGGCTCGTGGTGAAACTGCCTTTTGACGAACGTATTAGTAAGAGCAAGGTTCGTTGCTTCTGTGCAAAGTTAATTATGAGGTTGGAAATTTCGAAAGCATGGAAGGAGATGTTAGTTAGAAGGATGAGAGTTGTCTGGTGCAGGAACAAGTCAATTGCCGACATTATCCATAACTATCGGCGTGCAACAAAGAGCAATGTTTTTTCTTGTTGTTGTGAGGCGGCAGATCGTAGATTTGGGAAGGTCGGTGGTCACGTGGCGTGTAGACTAAGTGAAGCTGAAGGGTTTCCTGAATGGGTAAGAATGTCAAAGAATGTGTTAAGACCATCTGAGCTTGATAAGTATACGGCTTTAGGAAAGGAACTCTTGAAAGCTTTTCGCGCCCATCCCTCTCTGCCGACTGTTAATCTTCGGTTTTTTGAAGGGTTGGAGTCTTGTTTTTCAGACGTTACCAAGGAGTATGACGGATATCTGAGCGAGGATGACCTACGGACGTTTCTGCCACTTTTCAAAGGATTGGTGTGCTGCCCGTTAGATCACAATATGGGGGACACTTTTGTGTGTTGTCCGTGAGTTTATGAAGAAGGCATGTCGATTTTGTTTTTTGGGAATTCTGCGTTTGAGGCTTTCGATGTTAATGAAAAAGAGATAGTGCAGAAGTGTTGTGTCAGATACAAGGGGGTGGGATTGACAACAATGGCACAATGGAAAAAAGACGGGGTGTTGGGCAAGGCGTACTATTTACCCAAGCATAAGGACGTTACCCGGTGGCGGCCGATCTGTCCTTCGTACCCGGAGGGTTCGGTAAAGGGTGGTAAAATGATGTCAAGAGTCATCAACCAGCTGCTTTGGAATTTGCCGAGGGGCTCCAACTTGAACCTTAAAAGTGCAGATAAGCTGGTGGGAGAGATCCAAAGAGTCAACAAGGTGGTGGGAAAAAGGGAATGTGTGTTGGGTGCATCGTTTGATATTAAAGAGATGTTTTCTAATTTACCGCGTAACTTCATTTTGAATGCAGTTGACTGGGTGGTCACGTATTGGAAAAAAGAGGGAGTCAAGGGTGTTGCTCTGAGGAAGCAGGGCAAAGATGCAAAGATGTTGCGAGGCAGACTGGAAGAGGGTTGGAAGCTTTTGACGTTTGATGAGATACGGATCTTCGTGAAGTTCGAATTGAAAAACACGTACATTATGGCTGCAGGACGATGTCTGCGACAGGTGGTAGGCATACCCATGGGAAAGTCAGCCAGCCCTGCGATGGAGTGTTTGTTATGTGCATTTAACGAGTTCATTTTTTTTAGCAGCTTAGGAAATGAGCGGAAGTTTTTTGATGGATTTCGTCTGATAGACGATGTGTCGATTTTCGTGGGATATAAAGAGAGAGAACCTCGGTCAAAGACATTGGCAACAGAAATGATTCTGTCATTTAGGCAATGCTATGACAGCAACCTAGTTCTTGAAAAGACCAATGAGGGAGCTATTTGGGATTACTTGGGATGTGTCATTCACATTGAGGATGATAAGAAGAAGATCGACTGTTTTCCGCTTATGAAGAATCAGCGTGAGGGTTTGAATGGCAGTCTCGTCTTTCAGACAATTCAGGATTTTGTTTCATATTCGAGTAAACAACAGAAAATGGTGGTCGTGGGCTCTTTTTTGCACCGTGCGAAAACTTAAGCTTTGGTTGAAGGTTCGGAATTACCCTTCCTCGTGTCGCTGAAGAGTGAGCTATGGAGGAGGGGGTACCCTGACGAGGTGTTCGATGTTGTATTGTGCTCCTTTTCAAAGAAATTTGGAGGTTTGTGGAAGGAATGGTTACCCATATTGACAAATTGGGGGAGGTTTAGTTACGCAAGATCCGAAGATGTTTGCAGAGTACGAGGGCTGAAGCATTGACGGAAATGGGCTGGGGGGGTTCGCGCAGCGGAGTCACATAGTGTGAGCGGTGTGCGGGGGTATTATGTTGAAGAACGCTGGCTAAATGAAAAAAGTTGTGTTTTGTTTTTTGGAAGGTCAGGAAGGTACCGTGAAGGATATGAGATGGGGTCTATTTTTTTACTTTCTATTATTTTTGAAGTTTTTTGTTTGGTACCGCAAGTGGTGATTTGGGAATCGGGTTACTTTGTCAAGCGGTGGTGGCGGATTAGCGTGAATTTTCTTTTTATTGTTTGGTACCGTACGTAGCGAATTGCTAATCGGGTTACTGTGTTAAGTGGCGGCGGCGGAGTAGCGTGAACTTCACTACAGAATAGTCGGGAACTGTGTTCAAGGAAATTTGGCGGAGTCCCCCTTTCTTTTCTTTTATCAAGACCAGTTAACCTGGACTGCCGTTTCGACTATTTTTATGCTTTTCCTTTAGATTCATTGTATTAGGACAGTTGTTTTTTTTTTTTTTTGGAAAGCATCAACTCATTATATTGCAAAAAACATTGGGATGAGGCCGGGAACCTCACAATTCAGCCCGGAGTTATCCTGGCAGCCTTAGCCAGAATAGCTTACGAGCTCAGCTCGGTAACTTTAACAGTTCCAAATAAACCTGTCTACTCTACTGCTGAAAACCGAGTCCAACATCCCAATTGAATTTAAGAACTTTCCAAAATTAAGCCTTGAAGCTCGAAAAAGAAGATATTCGCTTGTTAGCCACACTCGGCTTCCAGCTAATCAAACCAAAACTTCACAAATCTATAGCCGAAAACCGGGTTCAGCGTCCCATTTTAAAACAGTACATTCCAGCGAAGCCTTTCAGGTGTGAAGCAACAGGACTGTGTTCCACAACCGCCACTAAACTTTCCAAATTAACAGCCTCATCCGGGCCTCTCCCTCTAATTTTCTTCAGGGCGGCTTAAGCCAGTGCCAGATGGCCAGCTTCCTGTCCTGAGAAACTGATGCCATCCGATTATCCTTTGCCCTGGTCTTCTGAAACCAAACAAACCCCTTTTTTTTGCTCCTATATCCCATCTGCCAATCCGCCATCATCATTTATCGGATGTTTAGACAAACTTGCCGCTGTTGTTCTTGTAAGGAGATTTTCGTATTTGTGAAAACCAGAGAATTTATCGCCCTCCATATCTCTTGAAACAGAATCCCTCGACAAACTTAAGCAATATAACCCCATCCCTCCCTGAGAGAAGGATTCTATATCTGAGGGATCCCATAAAGTATCCACTCGTCTGTCCATGGCCAACACTTACCAGTTACCAAATCCCAGTGGTTCATCCACCACATCCAGAGCTCATCTGACAGAGGACAATAGAGYCAGAGGTGGGCGTTGGATTCCCAACCCCACTCACATCTTTTACAGATTGTTGACAAATTCATTCCTTTTACAGAAAGCCACACAGCTGAAGCCACCACCAACAGTGACTGCAGCCATAATAGACTTGTTGACCTCTGCGACGGCATTATCATCAAGGCCTTCCAAAAACTATTCCAATCTGGTTGGACTGAAGAGTGATTTCTGACCTTATCCAGTCTTCTGTTGGCCAGTATTTCTGGGGTTTTCGTTACTGTAGCCCGAAAAATACTTGTTCCCACTTGGGTGTTATACTGTGTGAATGGTACCTTCCCCTGAAGTTGCCCCTTGGATATTGGCCAACTCTTGGTCCCTGGGTCCACCCTAAAGTTGTTAGCTGGACCCCAGAAGTCTCACCTGCTTAGCATCCTTCCCTTGCATTACTCTGGCCTCCTCACAATTCCTTGTTGAGGCAATCGTCTTTTATGCTCCCCGAAGTAGCATACCTTGATCCGTCTGAGTACCCGTTATGACTCCTGGTAGTTGCCATTCTTCCACCCTTATACCTGTCGACAGATCTGGCCCCAAGACCTTCCATAGTTTTCCTTGTGCTTCTTCTGCAAACACCCAGGAACCTTCACGMTGTTCTGAGGGCCCTTTCATCCATTCTGTCCACCCATGCGGCATTGTTGCTTTCAGTTTTGCCCAATTCCTGCCAACGTTTCTCAGTCTTGGCAGTTTTCTCCGTAGTTGTTCCTCCGTTACCCAATCCTCTCCTTCTGCGTCCCAGACATGTTTGACTTGGAAGACCCCTTTTTCCACCCAGGATCTGGCAAAGTCGCCTGGCTCCCTGTTAGCCTTGAATGTGGTACCATCCTCCTGCCGTATATTCTGATTGTCAAATAGCAGTTGGTTGTATATCTCCCCTTTGGCTACCAGCTGGTTACAATCTTGAGGAAGTATCTTTTGCCAAGCATAAAGAATATCCCTCCAAATCTTAGATTTAGGCCTTCTATTAGCATATGAAGGCATTAACAAACACGTCCAGACAGCATCTGGTTCCGAAAGGTTTCATTCGGAGCCTAAGATATATTCAACAATTTGAATCCACAGCTTAGAGGGATTATTATACATAGCTTTTATGAGTCATTTAGACAGCAAGGCCAAGTTTTGATGGCGGGGGTCTAAAATTCCTAGCCCTCCTTCTGAACGTGGCAGGGCTATGGCCTCCCATGCGACTTTTGCCATGTAGCCTTCCTCTTCCTTAGCCGTGGGCCTCCACAGGTATTTAGTTGCGCATCTTTTAATTTGAGCATACGCTTCATCTCCCAATCTAACAATAGTAAGCGGATACCACAACAATGAGAAGGCCGAGGATGATAGCACCAACGCCCGTCCAAACAAGGACAGGGTATGATTCTTTTGCCAATTGGTTATTCTGGCTGTTACTTTTCCGCCCAATATCTGATCTTGTGAGCTTGAACAATCTGACAGTGAAACTTGGATGCCAAAAAAACATTCCGAGTTTTCCGTCGGGATCAGTCGCAGTCCCCAATCAACCTTGGGCCTATATGGAGATGGTAAGAAAAAAACAGACTTATGCCAGTTTATTGATGCTTCAGACAGTACTCCGTAGCTACCTAATACTGACTTTAGTTCCTTTAATGCTTCAGTCTTATTTTCACAAGCAATGGTCAAATCATTTGCTATGGATCCCCCCTTCCATTCTAATGAAGGAGAGAGGGTGAGCCTTGTTATCCTAGGGTTATGTCTGATGTTATCTAACAGAATCTCCAACTGAAGAACAAACAATAGCGGGGCTAAAAGACAGCCCTGCCTCAACGAGCGGGTAAGATGAAAGTCCTCTGAGAGTCTCCCATTTACCATCACCGCAGAGGTAGCTTGTGCATACATTGTTTTCACCCATGTGCAGAATCCTTTCCCAAACCCCATCTTGCTCAAAGAAGTCGACACAAAGGCCCACCCCACTTTATCATATGCTTTTTCCATATCTAAAAGCAAGACAGCCACTTCCCTTTTTTCCCTCTCTATTATCTCCAAGGCCTGCACATGGCTAAAATATTCTCAAAAATTGAACGTCTCAGTCTTGTCCCCTTTTTTGTACAGAAGGGAAATCACCCCTTTTACAAAACCTTTGAGGAGCGATCCCGTAGCCAAAGCCCTGTTATAGATGCCAAGTTACCACAAACAGCTCAACAGGAAGGCCGTCTAGGCCCTGACATTTGCTCGAAGCCATACTCTTAACTGCTTTATACAACTCCCCTTCCGTCATTGGTTCGTCAAGTTGGTCCCGCATAGATTTGCTTAAAACTACTTTGGACCTATCCCAGAAGTCAGAAAAATCCGAGAGGTCTGTATCGAACTCATCAAACGGCCGTCTGGTCGACACTATGTCCCTGAAATATTCCAGGGCATAGTGACACATGTCCACTGTTTCTGTGGCCACCGGAGCTGTTAGGGCAAAAGGGTGAGCAAGCTCCCTAATCAAGGTTTTGGCTTGCCTAAGAATCAGGGAACGAAAGGTCAATTTAGTCATCTTGTCGTACCCTATAATTCCTCTGAGTCTTAAACGCTCTAGCCTTTCGGCCTGTTTCTTTACCTCTATTTCCTCAAGGAGGGTCAGGGCTTGTTTTCTTTTTTCTGTCCAATAATAATCTGTAAACGGGTCTGTTCCCATCTGAGTTTCAGCCTCCATGATCAAGTTCCGGAGCTTAGCCTCTTCCCATGTTTGATAGGCAACTTTCATTCTTGAGAACTCAAGCAGTGCTGATCTAACTATATTAATGCCCACATCTGCCCACATTTCCTCATCTTCAAAGAGGTCCTTAGCCTCTAACCAGCGCTCCATCTGCGTGGATACCCATTGAGGAATCCCTTTATCCTTAAGATTACTAACATTTAGCCTAAAGGGAGGTCTTTCCTTAGTGACCACATCCTTAGAAATTACATCAATAAAAATTGGATAGTGGTCTGAAACATAAGAAACCTGCAAATCTGAGGCATGGCACCTATCCCATATCGTACCCCGAGCTACTATATAGTCCAGTCTCCTTCGTGGAATCGGAGCCCTGGGACTTGGCCTGGGGCCACGCCAGGTGTATCCATTCTCCTCCGGATGGAAGCATCTGAATGTATCTATGAAACTTTGAGAGTCAAAGAAAGTGGTCAGAAGTACTGAGTCTGTTCTGAGAGGAGAACACACCGGGGAATCTAAACCTGGGTTTAAAATTGTGTTCCAATCTCCTAACATTACTAGGTTATCTGTGTCTAGTATGAAGGATGGAAGTGTGGCAAAAAAGTCCGTTCTGTCTATGTAATTTGTGAGGGCATAAATAGCCATAACCCCCCAGTCTTCATCATCTATTCCCAGTTTTACCCGCACAAACCTCCCCCCTTGATCGATATAGAAGTCCAAGATGATACAGTCTAAATCCTCATGAATGAGGATAGCTGTACCTCCCTTTGAACCATCTGCAGGGGCCCAAAACTATGGGCCCCTCCACCGGTCGACTGTCCCACGTACTTTACTAAAGTCCAGTTTCGTTTTCTGGAGGCCCAGAATCTGTACAAATTCTTTATGGACCCAGAAGAGTAAGTGTTGCCTTTTGAATCTATTTGAAGTGTCTCCCAATCCTTTAATGTTCCACCTGGCAATACGTACCTTATTGGGCAAGACCATTGTCATGGTCTGTGCCGCTCTTCAGTTGGATGCGGTTATCCTTGTCATCAGGTTCCCCCTGATTAACCAAGGTATCAACAATAAGCCCTTGAATTTCCGGGGGAAAGCCCGTCATGCTGAGTAGCGACCTGAACTTTTGCCTTGAAATTATCTGAATGGCATCTCGTCCAACCAGCCAGTCCAGAATAGATGTAGCAGACACTTTTAGGGATAAATGTATGTTTGTGACGAACTAGCTTCTGTAATGCGCGATTTTCTACGTGAAGTGCTAAGCGGGGTCCCACGTCGATTGGACGGGTTGATGGAAAATTGCATGTGTGTCCTTGCTTTCTTCGTTGTTTCTTCGTTCACACACGAGCCCCTGATGACAGTTGGGGACAATTCGGGAATGCACGGGGAAAAGGGGGTGAAACTTGGTCGGATGGATGCGGAGTGCGCGCCGAGTGCGCGATTAATAAACATTGACGTCGCTTTTTTTCTTTCGTTTCCCTTCCTTTAATTTTGTTTTGTCAAACTTTTGGGCGCGCAGACATCGCGTGGGAATTTCGGTGTCTCTTTCTGAATTTCCTTCTTGAATTTTCGTTTCAAATCTTGGTCGGAGCCATACGGCCTTTGGAATTTTGATTTTGTTTTTCGGACCTTTTCATCGGCAGTCTAGCTAGGAATTTTGGAATTTTGGAATTTCTGCTTTTCTGGGGCGCTGCTTTGTGTGTCCGCGCGCTCTTTCTTGCTATTGCGCCAGGACCTTGATTGATTGGCGCCTTAATCCTTTTGCAACTGTAATTTTGGGCGCACACTTTTGTAACGGTATCTTTCTGTTTCTTGCTTCTTATTCTTCCCGCCTCGTTTCTTCCTCTCTCCCCTCCCTTGCTGGGTAGCCGCGCTTGCATGTTCAGATCGATGTGTGGAGTTGGGTACGTCCCCCACGCCGCAGCCCGACCGTGCAAACGTAAGCACTCACTTTCTCCCATTTATCTACGTCCTTGTAATTCCGTGTTCTTCGCGCATGCATGCATGCTATAAATTCCGGCTGTGCGATTAACCTTCTCTCTTAACAGTTGCTGGAAGCTCGGGGTTGCGCGATCGAGAGGGTCGACACACGAGCGAAGTAAGAGGTGAGTGAAGTGGGAGTCGGGCGACCCGACGAGCTGGTGCCGAATGCGCGGGGTTGACGCGGGCCACGACAGACTGTGGGCGCGGAGCGAACCTGACGGGCGCAGGAGGACTAAGCGGGGTGACGACTTCATGTGTTGATGCGCAACGACGGACTGTCGGCATCGGAGAGAGGAGAGAGAGTTGAAGTCGAAGATGGACATGGATTTGCGCTTTTCTTTTCGGTCCTTTTTTTATCTGTATATATAAATTTTGGTGTCGATTACGGGCAACTCGCCCTTGTCTTTGCGGCCATACACTCGTCCTGTTGTTCGATTTGATTCTCCTTTTTTTTGTATCGATGTGGATGGTCCGCGCACCTTCGCATTTTCGTTTTTGATCGTTTCCCTTCGAACCCTCGTGCATAATGAATGAGAATGGGGATTGCATGTTGACGTGATCAGTAGAGTGTGTTGGCTTGTCGAATCTTACGGGTAGTCTAGAGTGCACCATCCGACATGCCATATGGGCACCTGCGAGTGCGATCCGAATGGAGCGCGGCTTACATGTGTCCATATCACTCGGACTCGCCAATCGCGTCCTGGCTAACACCCGTAGTCATCCCGTCACTGAAGTAGGAGTCCACGTCAACCGGGATCGGGTTACCCATCACGAGTAAGTGCGCGTAAGTGCGACTTGTTCGCATCTCTCTTACGCACTTACGAGCGGTGATCTCCCCGATTAACTTATCCCCCAAGGCGTGAGTGATGAAAGAATGACGAGCTCGCGGAGTTCCGACATATCTTGGAATTCCGAGGATTACGAGTCGTATTTCGGGTACCGGGAAATCTGGGAAGAAGAGCAACTCCGATTACGGGAAAATTTGAGGAACCCGGTGTTCCCATGCCTCACGGAAAACGATAGATTCTGCGCTAGGGAATTCCATCTCGCCGTGCGAAGCGACCCATGGATACCCGACTACCCAAACACGTACAACACGTAGTATTTCATAACCCCCGACTTCGTCCTTATCACCACTAATTTCCCGCCATACCACCTCCTCATCCCCTATCATCAGCTTACAGTAGTACCGTGGAATTCCATAGCGCCTTATTGGCCCTCCACCCCGCGCAGAAGCTGCAGCTGACATGCCCATACCCGAACCCCCGGAGCCTCGGCATCTAGGCATAGTTCCCACCAACCCACGCCACGTGGCGGACCCCGAAGGCGTGGGCCCCAAGGACTGCCTCGACAGGCTCCCCAGAACTGGCGACCACGTGAGGATCGGATGGCCCCGCACAACCAGCGTGCAAGCCCGCGCCCGTAAATTTTCCCAGTGCTCTATTACATCTCTGCCCCTGAACTCGGCCACAAAAGATCCCAGTTCTGACCTGGGACTTCAACCCCCCCACTTTCCCAAAAATCCTTGGCACACCCCTCTTCGCACTTCCAGGCCCCCATCCCACTCCGATCAGGAAGTCGCGCCGGGCGTGAGGTTGGGCGTCACATGTTAGCAAGTGCCTCCTCATTGGGGGTTATGAACGCCTGTAATGGATACCACAGACCCAACTTTGTATCTAGGTCTGTAGATACCGAACAGATGCCCCAAAAAACAATATGTAGCAGAATTTTAGTTTCATCCGGAAGAGAAACAACATGGCGACCCATTTTCGGAAGTGGTATTACCATGCACAAACCCTTTCCTTTGAAGACCTGGTTCTTCGTTAAATCCAAGATTTGTTCCTCAGTTGGAGCAGCATTTACAGCCAGCATCGGAATGTTCAGTTGAGCATCCTCAGAACGCTGGGTAAAAAACAGAAGACCTTGCGGTGAATCCGAGCATATCAGGGGGATCAAGTATTTTTTGATTCCTTCCATGCTTTCATCTGCCCTTTGCAGGGTTTCCATTGGGGCTGACAACGACAGAGTTTTCTGTGCTGAACGGCCGGGTTTCACTCTCTTTTTCTGAGTGGGAAGTCCTTCAACTGTAACAGGTTCCAGATCGGTTTCCTGTTCCATCTTCGTCGAGACTGCTTTATTATTTTCCACTCGTGTTTTTTTACAAGCAACGTAAGTGGCTTGGTCCATCTCAAAATTGAGACTGCTCCTCCTCTTCCTCCTCTTCCATAGGTTTTTCCTTATCCACCCCTTTACCCTCTTCTTCCTCCTCGTCTCTAGGTTTTTCCTTATCTGTCTCTTTTTCCTCCTCCACCACCTGCCGTCCGTCTTATCCATCTTCACCTGTTCCCTCTTATCCTCCTTCATTTCACTGTCATCCCCCGGTTTATCGTTACCCTCCTTCTTTTCCTCCTCCTTCCCTTCCTTCTCCTCCGATGCCAACCTCTTTCGCCTTTCCTCCTCCCCTTCCTCCACCACTCCATCCAATCCGTCCTCTTCCTTTTCTCCCCGATGGTCCCCTTTTACCACCTCTTTGTAGGTTGGTTTCTTCTTCGATTTCCCCTTTTCCGTCTTCGCTTTGTCCGCCCCTTTCCGGACTTCCGAAGTGCCTAACCCTTTCTTATTCCCTCTGATACTCCTTCCCTTGTCTCCCCTCCCCTTCCTTCCTTCGTTATCCCGAGTTTCCCCTTTTCCACTCATGTCCTTCTCCTTCCCCTTCTCCTCATCCTTCCCTTTAGGCTCCTCTTTGTTTTCTTCTCCCATCTTCTGCTTTTTTATAGGGCAAGTGTCGTCTGTTTCTTTATGAAAATGACACCGACAGTTTGAACACCACGGCATCTCCACACCAATGACCTCCATCTTGACCCTGCCAAACCGTCGAAGGTCAATTTCCAAATATTTCTTGTACTTCAGCTTGGCAGTTGGATTAAGGTCAAAGCGAACATTTCTCAGGCTCGGATCTAAAGGCTTCTTATAAGCTGGATATTCTTTGATTACGGGGCCATAAACATCCTCCACAGCCCCTTTCAAAACTCCAATCACCGAAACTGGAACTTCCAAACAGCGAATCCAAAAATATTTTTGTCTCATTGCCTCCTTCCATTTTTGGAGCTGATGGATATTCATTCATGGTCTGAATGTTAAGACATGCTCTCTTCCATCTAACAACACCCTGTCTTCTCCCTTTCTCAACATCCAATCAGCAACTTCCTTGGCTGATGACACATACGTTGCCAGGTTTTTCCCTTCATTGCAGAATATTCCCCTTATTGGAACAACCGCAGGTGCCCCTGCCGTTGCCCATGCGTTTTCATATGAACGGACTAATCTGCTTTTGACCTCCACCGGTAAGGTGGAGGCTTCATCGTTGAAAAAAAATGAAACTGCGTGGTCTGTGAGCCAATCAGTGTGAGCACTACAAATGTCCTCATTGACTGTGACCCTGACAAAATCATCGCCCGTTTCTACCACGCCTGGCGTGATTCGACGAGGAAGCACACCTTCCTGTACACACTTGGTCAACAGCTCGCTGACGCGAAGTTTTCCTTCCTCCGTTAGCGGATTAATAATATCCGTTTGACTGGAGGCACGAAGAGAAGAGAGCGCCATCGTGGAAGGAGATAAGATCTTAAAAATCACTAACAAAATCAAAAGAATGAATCTAATAACTCTACCAGAGCACTTCTGAGTTAGTACATAACTTATCGAAGCAAGCATAATGGCAATTTGTATTCGATATACCTCTCGAGGAGAGCCTTCTTTAAATATATCTTCCGGTTAAACCCCTCCCTTGACCTAGGATGCTAGTCCCGTCTCCCTTACCTTCGTCCTCCGTCTCGGTATCCCTCACCAAGGCTCCTTGGTTGTTGGGAAACCACCGCGGTCAAAAGGGGAGGAGACAAGTGCGAAGTTCGTCCAATCCTCATAGAGCACGACTTCTTCCAACCTTCGTTGACTCTTCGCAGAGGTTACCTTCACCTTTGTACCGCGTAACCCCAAAATCCTGAAGTCGTCGACCCTGGACAGAGCCATAAATTCGGCCCCCCTTCGTTAATTGCTCCCATGGACAACAACCTTGGATCTTCAGTACTTCGAATATTTCCCTGACATGTATTCACCAACAAGAAGCAGCAAGGCTATGCCCCCCCCTCCGGCCATGCCTAAAACACTTCTCCTGCCCCAATCTTGCCTAGCGCTAAGCGCCGCCGAGGCGGCGCTTAGCCCTAGAGGTAGATTAGCGCAAAAATTAGCGCATAGCGGCGCAAAAATTAGCGCATAGCCCTAGCGGACAGTTGTTTTTCTTTTCCTTGGGAACAACGACTTCTACGTAGGTCATAGGAACAGCTAAATAGCTTTGCAAAAAGTTTGAACTCAAGACTCCTGATGATCCTGGCACGACGGCCAGGTGAGACCGGTAGGGTAGTCGCCGAAGTGGAACTGTGTTCCACCATAGCTGCTGTTGTTCCGCATGTATTACTTTTTCAAGCAGCCGTCACGTTCCGGT